GGGATCCAAAGCCCCCTCTCAAACAAGACAAGACTTGCTTGAGCCCCTTGATCTTCCCTACGTGATCTGTGGCGCCCGGCTCATAGAATGGGTACTCCCCGGCCTGAAACGTGAGGAACCGTACCGCACCTTTCCTGAGTTCGGGCGTGTCTTCTAGTATGGTGGTCGCATCCTGAGGAGCTATCTCCTGCCCATTCCTCACCCCCCCCGGACCCTGCGTTCATCCTAGCTACACTCGGTGCCCCCTCCTCAACGCAATCATAGCACGATGACCAGTCGAAAAAACAGATTGGCCTGTGCCGCGGGAACTTCACGGCCAAGATATCCAACACATCCGCCATGTGCTCGATCATCTTCGTCCCCGTCCAGTACCCCGCCTTGTTCTTGCCATACTCGGACTTGTAGTACGTCGAAAACTTGCGGTCGTCGCCCTCTCCCTCGAAGTAGAGCATGTCGATGTCGCGGTACTTTTCCGGCCTGGTCGGATCACCGGCTGCGTGCTTCTCCCTCGAAATGCGGCAGCGCTCACGCCGCAGATCTTGGGCCTTGTCGATGTCCGCTTGAGTCCCCTCGACGAATCCGACGTCGCCCACGATGGTGCCGGAAATCATTGTGCCCTGTCCTTCTCCCTTCTTCTTTGGCCCGTGCATGTTCGGCGGCCACCACGCGTTACGCTCCCCGTCGTTGGCCCTGTAGATGCACTCGTCCTGGTAGCAAAAAATCGCCTTTCTGCCATCGACGTACTCTTGCTGGTGACCCTCGCTCGTAGGTGCGGGGGGAGCTCGGAGAGCGTCTCCTTGAATGCATGCACGCAAACCCAAACACGCCCTTCCTCCCTCCTGTCCCTTGGCTGCGTCTCCACCTCCTAGGATCGCGCCTCCTTCAAGCTGGCGTCGATCCAGATCTCCGTGTAGTCGCGGTGCTCGAAGTAGGCGGGTAGATACGTCTTGACCCGGTACTCTAGTACGTCCTCGCGGTCATGCCCGTCGAAGTACAGACCCGACTTCGTGTCGCGGTACTCGCATCCCAGCTTGTGAAGCCAGGATCGTGCTGTGCGCTCGGCGATCGCGTACGACACGACCTCACCCTTGTCGTTCTTGATCTTGGTGATGGGCGCGTGCTTGAAGGGGTCGTACTCGTCGGCCTTGGTCGCCGCAACCTCTGACAAGACATCCTTGATGAGGTAGTCGCGAACGTCTGAGCTGTCATGTTCGGCTCCCCGTTCTTGACGGCGTTGTTGCGGATCCAGAAGCGGATCCTCACGAGAAGGCCCTCGTCCAGGCTCAGGATCCAGCGTCGCTCGTGTCTCCCCGTCTGATCCAACTACAAAAAAAATGTCACAAGAGGAGGACGGGAAGGGAGGTAGCACGAAGAAACATGCGCGAGGAGAGAGCCGAGGTTGAATAACAACGGCTGGTGTTTGGAATGTGCCGCTGCCAAACCTTCATGCGATATTAATATTTGCGAATATTGTCTATGCTGCGTACCGATCACCGAATTTTGTGTATGTTGCCTATGCTGAATGACACGTCCGAGAGTCCTATTTAGAAGGGAAACTGTTGCGCTCACCTTGAGATGCCCTTCGTACGGTAGTCAAGCTCCCACTGCTTGATGGTGCCCCCTGCCAACTCGAGAAACTCGGCCGACTCCTCGAAAGCTTGTCGCTTCGATACCCCCTTGAGTAGCTTGCTGTACACCGCTCTCAGGGCGTGGGCTTGGGTGAGCAGCTTCCCAGCTTGCGCGTGCGAAACATCCATGCTTTCCTGGAACGGCAAGGGTAAACGTAGTGGAGTTTGGTTGGTGTTTGTTTCAGCTCGGTCACACACACCACCTCAGATCCAGGGAAGGAAAGCCAATGCGTGGAATGTCAGTACAGCAGCGGACAACACAACTCCAGCATGTTTGGCATACATATAGGCGAAGACGCGTCATCACTTAGCAAAAGCGTCAAGGACAGCAGTACACACATGGCAGCAACAGCAGTTGCGTGATGTGCGCATGCATCATGCGCGCATGCATGCGCATGTTTCAGATTTGTGCACATGTGCAGCAGCAGCAGTAATAGGGATTACACGGCAGTGAAAGAACAACGACAGCGACAACAGCGATGTCGCACGTACTGCAGGACTACTGCTGGATGTACCATATGTACTGCAGAACTACAAGACTACTGCTGTGTACGTCCAAACACAGGATACACCACTCGGATCTACAATTACCTCGGGCCCCGCAGACGTCGCTGCAACAGCACCATTGCACTCCTTCGCGGTGGCGCGGAAATACTCGACTCCTTTCTCCCAGCCCGCCTTGCATGCAGCGGACGCCAAGGCTGCCTTCTCCAGCTGCGATCTATGCTTTGCAAGCTTGCGCAGAGCCTCTTTCCTGCCCACACCCCTGTTGCTCTGGCGCTTGAGGAACGCCGGTCGCCAGTCCATCTCGTGTCTGTCCACTTCTTGCGACGCAGCCAATATTGCGCTGCCGAGGTCCCGCACTTGCAAGCGTGCAAAGGTCAGCTAGCCCTGCTCGACTTGCACCTTGTACTCATGCAAGAGTGAACGCAATCTCTTCCGGCCGAAGCTTCCCTTCGGCCGGCCCTCTCCCTCACGTGCTGCACGCTTTGCCGGTGGCGAATGGATCGTGCACCAGGTGTGCTGACAGTCTCGCGGCCGTTTTTCTCTCGGAGGAACAGGCTTGGCTGCGCGACTGGGCATCTCACTTTCTTTGGGGAAGACGACACTGCCGCTAGACAGAGATGGTCGCCAAGCGGCAGCAAATCTCGCCTCGGCCCGGTAGTCACGAGACCTGCTGCTGACTTGGGGTACTTGATATACTCGCTGTACCAACTGCGGCTGGACCCCTCAGAGAGGTCCCGCTGTGAATTGCACACGATACTTTTTCGCGCCCTTCACTTGACGTGCAGCGGTCGGCGTACCAACACGGCGAGTCAGGGCTTCCCTGATGGCCGCCAGGGCCTGAAGGCGAAGCGCGAATGTCATGGGCGTGCTGGGGGTGGACCTCGAAGTTTTTTTTTGCGGCAGCCGTTGGGGCTGATGTGGGCATGATTTTGAAAAATTTGGCTCGGAGTTTTTTTCGGCTTGATATCCAAGAGGTTCGGAAATGGAACCGCTGCAACAAAATAGAACAGAAAGAGGGCTTCAATTGGCAGGGCACCCATAAATAGGGCGATTTTTTGTAAGACACGGAAGAACTTCCAACAATTATCTATGTTTCAGAGGAGTAGAGCCGGGTAGATGCCCATCTCCCACCAATCATCCGTCGAGTTTGTAAGACATTTTGTAAGACAGAGACAGATGATTGGGCGATGGGCACGACGCTCTCGGCAGAATCACCGAAATCCTCTTGCACAGCAGCACCATACACATCACGTACACAACATGCGATACAACCAGCACAGCAGTATACGGATGTTGTAGGCCAAGGGCAGCCAAAGGCACACATCATGAGAGGCGTTGGGTATGACTCTTGCAGCCCCTTGCTTGCTGTCGGCAGCACAAGCGAGTGACGACGCAAGTCAATCCGCGGTCGGCCTGCATCACCCTCAACCTACCGATCTTTGGAGCTTCCCGCACAGACACATCCCCACAATAGAGAAAACGAGGCCTACACACTGCTGTAGGCCAAGGCCGGCCAAAGGCACACATCATGGCTGGCGTCGGAAGCTATTTGTAGACCCGGAGGCCTACTGCTTGCCACGTAAGCGAGGGAACATGTNGCCGACGCAAGTCAATCCGCGGTCGGCCTGCATCACCCTCAACCTACCGATCTTTGGAGCTTCCTGCACAGACACATCCCCATNCAGAGACAGATGATTGGGCGATGGGCACGACGCTCTCGGCAGAATCACCGCAATCCTCTTGCACAGCAGCTTCATACACATCACGTACACAACATGCGATATAACCAGCACAGCAGTATACGGATGTTGTAGGCAAAGGGCAGCCAAAGGCACACATCATGAGAGGCGTTGGGTATGACTCTTGCAGCCCCTTGCTTGCTGTCGGCAGCACAAGCGAGTGCCGACGCAAGTCAATCCGCGGTCGGCCTGCATCACCCTCAACCTACCGATCTTTGGAGCTTCCTGCACAGACACATCCCCATAATAGAGAAAACGAGGCCTACACACTGCTGTAGGCCAAGGCCGGCCAAAGGCACACATCATGGCTGGCGTCGGAAGCTATTTGTAGACCCGGAGGCCTACTGCTTGCCACGTAAGCGAGGGAACATGTGAGTGCACACACGTCAGATCTCTGTCTGCGGTCTCTTCGTCTGCCGGCCGATCTTTTGCTTCCACAACAGACGCACCCGGAAACAGAGACAAGTGAGACGGACACAGCGATGTAAGCCAAGGGCAGCCACATACACACGTCGTGGGAGGGGTCCGGGCCAATTTTTAGTCCGTTGCCCTTTGCTAGTAGCGAAAGCGAAGAAAGCAACTGCGCACCCATGCACAGCAGCAGAGGCGGCAGCAGCAGCAGCAGCAGCAGCAGCAGCAGCAGCAGCAGCAGCAGCAGCACTGCTGCCGCTGAGCTGATGATGATGAAAGCTAAACAGCGCTCCCATTCCATCCCCTGACTGACTGGTGGTATAGGGTGAGGTGTGAGCGTGCGCACTGGTGACCTACATGGTGGTGTAGGCTCCATCCATATCCATCTACGCTTGCTTTGATGTCTCTCTCCGACCCCTTTCGCGCTTCGCGCGAAATCATTAAATTATTTTTTTGGACCCCTATGTATGGGACTGACAACCCTTTTTTATTACTGGTGCACCCCAAACCAGCGTTACAAAATCTGGCACTGCTGTAGGTAGACGGGGCTGCTGCCTAGTGCCTACATTTTCGCTTTCCCCCTGCATTTTTTGTTTTTTCTCCCATCATTGGACTCTGTCGTCTGCCCCACTGGTCCATATCCTCCACTTCTACTAGCTAGACGCCCCAACCGGGGTCACACAGGAGGGTATTGTAGTTTTGTTGTTTGGTTTACCTTGAAAACGTGAAGGAACAGAGTGGTGGAGATTGCCGGCGAGGAGAAGGACGCAAGCTCTCTGGCGTTAGCCACCAATGGAGCGCCAGGCCAGCGATCCTGCTGCTGCCTCTCCTCCTCGTCCTGGTGCTGCTCCCATGCCTCTTGCCAATTCACCACCGGAAGAAGCTCTTCTCTTTGCCGCTGCTGCGCCAGCTGCCCATCAATAACACCGATGTAGATGATGTACACCGTGGCTATCACCAACGCAATCGCAAGGAGGCCACCAGCGACCCTCCTCCCCGTTGCTTGGATCATGATAGGGTGGTCTGAGGAGCCAGCTGGGCCACACTGTGCTGCGGTAACCCAATATGCCCTGGTTGAGAAGAAGTCGGCAGGCTCAGGCCTCCATCAACCACGCTATACTCCGCGGTAGAACTTCGATTTTCTGAGCCAACAAAGGGGAGGGGCTGCCCGCACCGCTAGCGCCCACTGCTCGGCCCGCCCTGCTCCGCACACCCCCGTAGATCCCGAGGCGGTGGACACGACGAGACCCCGCACCGCACGCGCGGACTGCTCGGCCCACCCTGCTCCGCACACGCCCGTAGATCCCGAGGCGGTGGAAGTACGGGAGACGGTGACACGACGAGACCGGAGCAACATAAGGGTGGCGCTGCCTCTGCAACCAGAGTAGCGGCGGTCAGCTGTCAGCCAATCAGAGGCAGCCACATTGTACACTGCGAATATTCCAAACTTTTTATGGATGAGGAAATCGACAGCAGTGGCTGCTCTATAGACTACCTTACCAAACCTTACACGAGGGTTGATGTGACGTCTCCTTCGTGTCTGTGTCTTGTGAACAAAAAAAGCCGAGCGATTGTACCCCCGCGGATGCTATCACCCACTAGATGGAGCTTCATCTGTGCTTGTTTGTATCCATGACGAATCGCGAGTTGCACAAGGTAATAACCTCCCTTGGATTGATATAAAGTGTAGGGCGGACTGCAGCACTTACTCTCGATCCCACTCCAAGATCGAGAGGACACGAGGACGCTTACAAATCAAACAAGGAGTCTTTGAAAATTCCTCGACGTGCCGGTTCTCACTCCGCCAGCTTCGGCACCGTCGCGGACGTTCTGTTCTCCGTTCTGATGTCTTTGTTTTGACACCAGCTCGATCGCTGTTTCGGCGATCATGTTTGATAACTACGTGTATACCCGACTGCTGTGGTCGGGAAAATGGTACACTCACAGCCCCGTAAGGTCTACCTTCGCTGCTCGCACTCCTCGGAAATGAGCATGGTTGCAGTGGAGACTCAAAAAAAAGACCCAGTTGGAACCACATCCCATAAGCAGTTCCGCATAGTATTGGTCCCGGTTCGTTGTACAACTTGGTCCGTGCAAGGAAGGTACACCTACTTGATGAAGTAGGTTCTGAACGCAACACGTGGAACATAATTCAACAGCCTTCCCAACGTTGTTGGTGTTGTCACATTTCAACCATCCAGCTCGTGTTCTCTACTCTCCGCCACAAAGAGACAATTTCAGTCGCCACACGCGATAACACCAAGAAAAGAGATGCAGTGCCGGGGGGCCTTCACAACAAACAATCTTACAAGAAATCGAGGCTCACACTTTTATGATCAAATAACAAGGAAGAACGGCGTGAGAAATTAATTCCTATTCGATGTGATAGGCGTAGCAATACAAGCAGCCTGTGCGCTCAACCGTTGGAGACGCTGCGCTGCAAGGCCCTGAGACCTGCTCAAAGAGCTTTTCACGCACGGGCCGACACTTCCACCAGTAGACTATACCCACAAGCTTCATATACGACGCACGAACGTGTACAAACCAAGTATAAAAAGTACATCTCGACCTCCAGTCACCACAACCAAGCGAGCAGCATCCCCGCCGCGGACAACGACGACTCTTTCTCTTGCTAGGCGATCTTCGGTGCAGGATCGATCGCAGACAAGCACCTGCACTGTATAAAAAAGTGCTGCCTTCGAAGCGAGGTAAACAGAGAAAAAAAACAAAATATCGCCCCATGACTCAATCAAGTCAAGCATCCTGTTCCAACCTGCCCTCTCCTTCCGTGACGCTCCTTCCGGGGTGACGGAAAAAAAAAAACAGCCCCGTGGCTCCCAACAAACACGGCCCAGAATTTTCGTGTTTCTCTCAACGAGACACTATTGAAGCTAGCTGTGGAGCACAATTTTATAATTCCACGGCTGGTTCCTCCTGCGCATCTGAGAAACGTGAGGAAAACACATACTAACAACATTCAATCGGCAGGGGGGGTCACTTTACAATGCCAGCCCTCCGTACCCCCTGTCTCTTTGGGCACGTCGCCTAAATCGTGCTCTCATTCCGCACAAGAGCTATCTATTGCTCAAAACTACATTCGTGCATAAAAAACACTCGGTCAAACTTGCTGTCCACCTCAGGCATCAACAACGGCGCCGCCGTGGTCCATGAACTTGTGGTCATGATTCTTTCAAAACTTAAATACGACTTTTCCACGTCCGACCCCACTTCGACCGTAGGACCACTCGACAACCAACAATCAAGAGCGTCCGCGTGCTCCCCCTACGATGATGTTGGGCGTCAAAAGCCATGCCAAGGATGACGGGGGGGGGGGACTACAGCGCGCGTTCAACTGGCACACCCCCTCCTTACAATCAAACACCAGGGTCATGACCTCTTGACCATTCTCGTAGGCTCCTGATCATTCTGGTAGGCGGGCGAAGGAAGTGCCATGTGCTCCTGCAAACACGATTTCGTTCACTCTGGTTCCAAAGAGCTACCAAGCACCGGCGGCGGCGACCGCCTACAATAACCGCCTACCCAGATGCCAGACACTACGCTCGGGGTATAGAAAACACACGCCGCGATCAGCCGCATGGCAAGGTTTCTCTCTACAATCGCGCCGGTTAAGAATACAACACAGCGGAAAGATTGCTGCAAAAAAAAAACAAGAAGACGAGACTAACACGGCATCAGGAGTCCACACTACCAGACCCCAAATTCTCTACATCACGACCCCCGCCCCCCGTCCCCCAAGCAGACCTCACAGAACTCCTTTCTAGTACTCGTCGACATGACGAGTAACGGTTCCGCGCAAAGACGCCTCGGCAACATCCGGGTGCTTTCGGCACACAAACACGCACTTCACGACGAGGCAGCCAGCCACACAGAGGGCAACAGTGACGTGCGAACAAGTTTTGGACCGCTGCTGTCTCCCTGCCCTCTCGCTACGCCTTCAGAAGAACGATTCACGTCCGCAAAAACCCTGCGCGCTGGTGTCAACTTGCAGCAGCCGGTAACCCTCCGCGAAAAACACAATCCACGCCGGACGTCAAGCGCCTACTCACGTTCACGAGACTTGAGAGTGGAGTTGAAACCGCCCGCGCGAACCTACCTGCTGCCGCCAGGCCTTATGGTGTGCGCCCTAACGCTTCACACTGGGTCTAACCAGTTGCTTTCGTCGCACATTCCCTGCGCCTCTAAGCTATTTCGCGGCCCGGACTCCGGCGACGAGACGGGGCCCGAAGGGGAGAAACCCCGCCTTGCCGTCGCCGCCGCTACCCCGGCGGTGGCGTCTCCACTCCGCTGGACGAAAACGCCGCCCGATACTGGCATCGAAGAGGAGGAGGCGGAGGGAGGGGCGGGGACCGAAGTAGAAGGGGTCAACAGCCCGGCGGCGCCGACTGCCACGTTTGGGACCGGCGGCGGGTCGCCATCTCTTGCTGGCCCCTTCAGCTCCCCCCCGATGCCCCCTCTTCTTGGCGCCACCGCCGCCGCCGCCGCCGCCGCCGCTACCTCTCCTCCGCTAGCGGGCGGCACAACCACGACTCCGCCAAACTCCCGTATGTCGTGGAGCTTGAAGACCTCCTGGATCACCTTCCGGCAGACTGGGCAGAGGTGCGGGGGCGAGTCCGCGAGTGTAGTAGCGCACGTGAAGCACACGCCTCCGTGGCCACACTCCATCACCACGGCGTCCGCCCTCCGCTCGCAGCAGATGTAGCACGTCGAGTGCTTTCGGCGCGACGACGGCGCCGCCGCCGCCGCCGCCGCGAGGGGGCCGGAACTACCGCCGGTCGCCACCCCGCCGCGTTCTGCCTCTGCGTCGCTCGCCATCACGGCGGCAACATCTACTCCGTCCCCGCCCTCCGACGCCAGCGACAACTCCCCGGGCCAGCTTAACCTCCTCGGCATGCCGCCGGCGCCGCCGTGAAGGGTTGAACCCGCCCCCCGTCTTGTACTGGTGCCGCGCTCCGCGCTCCATCTATGTCGGGATTTCGCCAGACCGCCAACGCCTGCCCCCGCCCCGGCCCCCGCCGCCGCCGCCGCCGCAGACCCGTGGCAAAGGCCGTGGCCGCTGCCGCTCCCCCCGTGGAGAGAGAAGGCCGCGGCTCCGTGAGCGCTTCCGAACCCTAGGAGGATTTCGGGGGGCTCCGTGGTTGTCGCGGGCAACGGCTGGTGCAGGGAAGAGCCGTCTATTGCGCCGCCGCCGCCGTCCCTGGGTTCGTCTTCCTCGTCACCATCGATCGATAGTCCCACCTGAAGGCCGGTGGGTCACAGGCAGGCACGACATGTGTCATGGATTATTCTGCAACCGAAGTTGCAATGATGCCGCCGACTACAGTGTATTAATGCGGAAAAACATATACCGTACGTACCCCTGTCTCTCTCTCTCTCTCTCTGTCTCCCTCTCTCTCTCTCTCTCTGTGTGTGTGTGTGTTTCTGTCGCTACGTCGAAGACGAAAGTGTGGTCGGCTGTAGTACAAGTCGGAATCAGTCTTGTTCTTGCACATGCAGCAGCTTTACCTCGTGGCTATCTTCGTCAGAGTCGACGAAGCTGCCGAAGCTGTTCAGGTCGTAACTGTCAGTGACGGAGTGGGTGCCAGAGTCTCCAGGTAGCAGGCACTGGTCATGGCGGTCGTCCTGCAAATGAATGCCGGGTGGAGGGCGGGGGGAAGTCAGCGGGGGGAGGACCACCACCAAAATGGCTCCGCTTTCTACAGCTCAGGCTAGGTGGGCAAAGCATCCCTGGTCATTCACCAGCACACTTCAACTCTATCACGGCCTAAACAAACCAAACTCGTTGAATCCAACTACTCCTTCAATTACTCAAGCCTACAGCGACTCAACGATCACACGCGCATCTCTCGTCCAACCCGCCGAACAACCCAAACAAAAATCCACTTGACAGGCAGAAGCCACTCGCCGAAAGCAAACCCCATTGCGCGGAAATCTCCCTGTCGCCGAGCGATGCGTACGTACACCCAACTAATCGCATCGACGAAATCGAGCACACCTCCCGCCATACAGGCCGATGCCGCAACAGCGCACGCACACATATATGACGTAGATTCGTATCCTGACCAGTTGGAAGAGCCAAATAGGAGCCGGTACCGGATGGGGCTAAGACCCGTTCTAGAGACGCGACTCAAAAACAAAGCGCGAATTTGAATGCACAGCAATCAACAGCCAGCCAACGGGTCAGGCAGCGCGAGGGGTACACGGGACCAGGACCCGCGGGCCCTGTCCCTCCCGTCGGGAGGGGAAGAAGCAACTAGTACTCACCTCGGGAGTACCCTTAGATGTAGCCTCGTCCTCCCCTCGGGACCTCGGCGACCCCTCCTTTTCGGCGCCCGCTAGCTGCCGTCCCGACGAGACCGAAAACATCTCGTGACCCTGAACAATATATATACCGCAGGGGTATCCGGCGGGAGGGGGCAAGGGACAAAGTCANGGGGGGGGGGGGGGGGGGGGGGGGGGGGGGGGGGGGGGGGGGGGGGGGGGGGGGGGGGGGGGGGGGGGGGGGGGTTGATTGTTCGCGATTGAGGTAGCGTGTGGGTGGGTGTGTTTGGTAGTCCACACATTCAATTTCGCGTTTGGCCTGCTGTACCTCAACGCCACCTCCAACAAGATGCGGCTGAGAAAAGCGAGGTGTATAAGCCGACAAGAAAACGGTCCCGACAGAAGCACTTTTCAACAACACAATACGACAACCAGCACCAACAGCGAGATATCGACAACAACCACCAACACTGAAGACATCAACGACAACAACAACAACAACAACAACAACAACAACAACAACAACAACGACAACAATGGTCTCGCCTCCCGACTCGAACTGCCCGTCACAGCAGCCGTAAACCTCTGCCCCCCCCTCCGCACCGCCCCTCTAGCGCGCGGGAAACAGTCCTGCAGGACATGGAAACTCCTCGATGAACGCTGCGGCACCCTCTCCCCCCTCTCGTCGCTCCCGCCTCCGTCGTCCAGAGCGGCGATGTCGGAGTCGCGGGACCTAGAGCGACCGCCTCTAATACCCCAGTCCGCTAACTGCTTCCCAGCAACAAGAAGATACGTCAAGGCAAGGAGAGGAAGACCGCCGGGGGAGAAATATTGGGTCAACAAAACACCGTGAACATTGCTTTATCAATCAAGCCGCATGGGCACGATGAAGGCGCTGGGAGGGGTAGGGCAATAGACAAGGGAGACACAACAACTACACAAAAATTGAGGGGGGGCAACACCGCACCAACGTGACGCACGCACAGATCTGCACGTCAAGATAATGCTACCTTCCTCCTTCCCGAAACACAAAAAGCAAACCATCACTCCAGTACAAAAAAACAAAAAATCTCAAATCAACAACGACAGATCTTACCTCAAAGGCCGTAACATCGGGGTTCATCAGCGACCCGTCCGCTTCCCCCAGGCGGCGGCAAAACGACGCCGACGCCCTCCGAAACAGCATGGAGCTCTCTCGCATGAGAATCGTGGGAGCCATCACCGAGGACCCCCTCCGTCGTCGTCGCCTACCCCCCTCCGGCCCCGTCCCCGCCCCTTCCTCCTCCTCCGTTCCACCAATGGGCGGGCTGCCCCTGACCCCTCTCCCCGCCTCGACATCGTCGACGCCTCCAAACGAGGTGGAACTCGCGTCCATTCCACCGCCGCCGCCGTTCGGGTCGTTCGCTTGCCGGAATTGCTCTTCGGCGGTACGCATTGTCTGCGGGGG